ATATATATATATATATATATATATATATATATATATATATATATATATATATATATATATATATATATATATAATACATATATATATATAATACATATATATATATATATATATATATATATATATATATATATATATATATATATATATATATATATATATATTAAAATATATATGTATGTATATATATATATATATATATATATATATATATATATATATATATATATATATATATATAACTTATAAACATATATACAATAATATACATATATAATAAATTTAAAATTTAATTCCTATGAGTATATAAATTTTAAAATATATAAAATGTGAAAGCCAATAAAATATAATATGTAATAAAATATATAAAAACTTACTTTTTACATTCATATGATTTTATAAAAAATAAAAGCTATTATATAAAATATATATATAACTGATTTAATTACAGATTTAAAAATAAAAAGGTTGATGAAAACAAAGTTAAACTATAAATCAAATTAATATCTCAATATAAATGATATCTATTTTAATGTAAATATTTATCATAATATAAAAGTATTTTAGACAATATTTTTAACTGAGTTCTTTTTTAGAACCGTTTTTTCTAAGAATCAGGCAAATTCCTGAAACTGTGGAAGTGACCTCGTCCAAATTGCTTGAATTTTTTATATATTGATCAGAATATAGAGAAAACCTGTTAGGGAAAAAAAAAAAATTCAAAAATGTTTCGTTCACTCGGAATCTGGGCTTAAATTTTTGAGATTTTTTTAAAAATTTTTAGAAATTTAGTTTTTGCCACCTTTGAACCCATTTTTTTGGCATGGCAAAATGTTGCACATAGCTTTTGTAGTTAATATCAGACGTAACCCAAAAGCTCTCTCCAAAAAATATAAAAAAGTTGCGTGACACTGTGCGGTTGGCTAATTATCATAGTTCAAAAGTACAAAATCAATCAGTTTTGTCAATTTTTAATCGGAGTTAATTCTAGCGGCAAAGTGTTGCACACAATTTTTCTTTTAGGATTTGAAATTATCAAAGGTATTGAGTCTAAAAATGCAAAGAAAGTTATGTGATACCTAAGACCTATTGATATATTAAGGCTTGAAATTGGAAAAAAATGTTTTAGTATACTTACAAAATGAACCATTACGGCAGAGGCGCTTAGTTTTGTAAAAATGTAAACATATCCAACTGTCAATACAAAAAGGTCCTAACATAATAATAAAAAAAATTCGTGTGATTTTGTCACACGCATGATATAACATGAATTAAAAACTGAACAAAAATCTAACATCAAGATAACTATATTGCTAATTAAATAAAACATAAATCAAACATTTAAATGTTTTTCCATTTAAAAATTAGTTTTTCATTTATTAATAGAGTCATTTACACACATTATCCACCACATCACACATAATTTCTACTCTGCTGCAGTAAGTTTCTCTAAAAATAATGATATGACTGTATTATAGTCTTCTTCGGATAATGAATAATCGCCACAACCACTGATTAGAAAAGGAGCATTTACTAAAAAGATAATTTTATCAGTTTGGTTATTTATCTCCTCGGTAGTAACTGGCCAGCGAAAAGTATTCTTCTCTTGCCCGTTAATCATACAATTAACTCTGATCCCAGTTATAGATACTTAAAAGTATTAGCGCAACATTTAAAATAATATAATAAAGAGTTTATGATTTGTTTAATTTTGATTACATTCAATAAAACTTGTAAAGTCTTATATAATGTCATTCTGAAATTATTTTTACATTTTATTTATATTCCTTTTATTTTAGAGCACTGTTTTGTAAAACAAAATAAAAACTTGAAACTAATATATACTTTGAATAATATTACCTCCACAATATATCCAATATTCCATTGTTTTTCATATGCAACAGCAACTTAATCATTCACTTTCCATACAAGACAAATTTCTTTTGCAAGATTGGCGATGTCTTCCTCATATTTATTATCATCTTCATTGTCTCCTGTCAGATTAAAGTCATCATTTTCGCCATAAACTTCTTTGTTATCGTTAACCTGACTATTTTCATTATTTTCTGTTGTCGGTTCTACCAGCTTACCTTTTCTTTTCAGGTTACTAAATCCATAACAATATCAATTGTACATATTTTTAAACATATGTAAACAAACACACAAAATTTAAACGACATGTTTACTGTAAAATGTTTTTTAACAAACAACACTTGACATTACAAAACTCAACAAAATCTCCTGTGAAACATTAATTTCACCGGGATCAAATTCTTCATCTGGAGTAGCAGGTGTCATATATATTTGTTCTTGTTGTGTTTGTGTTTCTGTACATAAATTGGTGTTTTCGTTGACTCTAGATAAAGCAGTTTCTTGCTTTAAATGGGTAAAACACAGCACTGCACCAACTGAAAATACTTCATTGTATCGCTTTGACATTGATATGACGACATGTATTGGTGACGCCCTTAAAGCAGGAGATTTTTTTCCTTTTATATTTAGATGGTGAGGATGAAAGCATGTTTTTGGAGGACTCCATGCAATACCAAACGTGTACCGGTGAAAAGCACATATTTGTTCAGCCTTTTCAAGATTTCTTTTAAGTCTATTTGCAATAAGTCCATTTTCTTCCCAAATATTATTATTGTTTAATCACATGACTTAAAAACAATTTTTTAAACAATTATTAAGTGTGTCATTTAAAGCATTGTTTATAATCTGACTCCACGAAAAATGTTTACAAGTTTGAAATACATTGTTTAGTGATTATTTATTAAAAGAGTGAGGAATTAATTAAAAGAGCTATTTTTTTTTGTTTAAAGAACTTTGTCTCAAAATCTTATTGCAGAGAAGTTATAAAGTATGTAATTATAAAAATTATATTACAGTCTGCGTAAATTTAAAATACATAATTACCTTTAAGTTGATGAGGTGTTTCTTAACATCAACATCTCCCAGCTGATGAATGTAGAACATTTTGTTTATAATTTTATGTTTTTTGAATGATCCACAATTTCCTTTTGAAAAGCAACAACAGTTTTCATAAAAATATTTGTTTTGTTCCATACTCAACTAAAGACAAGTTCTATTTATGCAGTACCTATTTCTCAATAGCAATGATAAAATATCTACTCTATTTATGCAAATTTTAAAGATCGTTAAAATAAAGTTAAGACATTTTTCTGGTAAAGTAAACAACCGCCCACTAACTTATTTCTCCACAATCGTGATATCAGCGATTCTTCTTCCATTCGATCACCACAAGTTATTTGGTTATGACGTAAATTTAAATAATTCACTTCTGATCATGTATTGTTTTTTATTATTATTTATTTCAATTGTTATGATTTCTATATCATAGTCAGAAACGCTTAAATTTTTTCTTAACATTACGTGCAATGTTTTATGTAATGCTAATTGCTAATTTTGGATGATAGAAATTTTATTGTAAGCAAAAACCTCATCAGTGTGTCCAAAAAAATATCTCTTCGTACTTAATCATTTTTAACAATTTGTACCTTTATTTTTAACTTAATATCTAAAGATCACATGAGTTTTTTTTTAAACTATGTTAGGGTCATCTTATATTGACCATTTAACATGATTATATTTTTACAAAACTTAGCGCCTCTGCCGTAATAGCTCATTTTGTAAGTATACTATAACATTTTTTTCCAATTTCAAGCCTTAATATATTAATAGGCCTTAGGTATCACATAACTTTCTTTGCATTTTTAGACTCAATACCTTTGATAATTTCAAATCCTAAAAGAAAAAATGTGTGCAACACTTCGCCGCTAGAATTAACTCCGATTAAAAGTTGACAAAACTGATTGATTTTGTACTTTTGAACTATGATAATTAGCCAACCGCACAGTGTCACGCAACTTTTTTATATTTTTTGGAGAGAGCTTTTGGGTTACGTCTGATATTAACTTTTGGGTTACGTCTGATATTAATTATAATTTTTGGAGAGAGCTTTTGGGTTACGTCTGATATTAACTACAAAAGCTATGTGCAACATTTTGCCTTGCCAAAAAAATGGGTTCAAAGGTGGCAAAAACTAAATTTCTAAAAATTTTTAAAAAAATCTCAAAAATTTAAGCCCGAGTGAACAAAACATTTTTGAAAATTCCGAAAGTTCCGAAAATTCCGAAAATTCCGAAAATTCCGAAAATTCTGAAAATTCCGAAAATTCCGAAAATTCCGAAAAAAAAACATTCCGAGTGAACAAAACATTTTTGAAATTTTTTTTTTCCCCCAACAGGTTTTCTCTATATTCTGATCAATATATAAAAAATTCAAGCAATTTGGAGGAGGTCACTTCCATTGACTGCCTGATTCTTACAAAAAATGACTCTTAACAATAAATACTTCTAAATCGGGACTTATAATTTGATAAACCGATAAAATAAAAAGGCCATTAATAACGCTTGGAAAAAGAGGTGCTGGGCTATTACTAATAGTGTACCACTTATTAAGTCAGTGACGCAAAGTTTTGTCTTGAATAAAAGTCATGTAAAAGCGAAAGAAGTTTTATCTTAATGATAAATGTTTTTTAACAAGGTAAAAACTAAAACTAAAAAAAAATTAAGTAAAACTAATCCTGGTTTAAATTAATTAATAAGTTTTTACTAAAAAATGTTTTCTATATAATAAATTACATTTATTATATACAAAACATTGGTGGCGTTTAAATTAATAATAATGCCGGTACCATTATTTACCAATAAAACGTAAAGGTATGGTGTTAGCAATTGTACGGAGTTTAATCATCACGGAGACTGCTTTTCAAACCTTGGAACAAAGGCTAATGTTATTTTTGTCATTAAAAAGATTTAGTTAATCGAATTATTTAAGAGGTTTAAACAACTGAGATTCCGTTAATCCTAAGTTAATCTAATAAAATTAGTAAGGAAATAAACAATGAAATCAGACACAAAAAAAAAGTTTAATAAAAATATAAAAGTTTATGCATTAAGATTACAGTACAATGGTTATTTATAAATTAGCTTTGTCGTAATATTTATCAAATCTAACTTATCAAATGTTTTTGGTAAAGTGAAAGATATTTAAAAAGTTAATGTTATTATTATATTAACTTATATTTTTTGCATTATATTTACCTTACATTATTTACATATGTTGTTGGAAAATTCTAAGTTTATGAGCTCTTTTCACAAAAATAACTAACTTTATTGTTAATTTTTATTTAAAAAAGTAAGTTTAAAATATATTCATAAATATCTAAGCACCGTGTTTTACATTTTAGTGTTGCTAGAGTATCTAAAACAATTGCTATCGAGAAAACATTAACAAATACTATCGAGACAACATTGGACGGGAGATTTTAAACATGATTCCTATAATTTTGAACCTCAAAATGTTATTTAGAAATGGGGCATGATCCATTTTCAATTTATGGTATGAACATTAAAAAAGTGATATTTAGGACAGTTATATAACTTGTAATTTGAAAAAAACAACGTATTATAATTTTATTTAATAATATTTTTTAAAAATAGTTCAAAAAAAATTTTTAAAGTTTTCTAAAATAAATGATTAATATAATATAACATCAGAATAAATTATAAAATATTTAAAAAAACTAAATAAAAAATACTTTAGAAAAGATAATACAAAATTACGAGTATACTCGTAATTTTGTATTATCGTATTGTATTAACAAATTGTATTAACAAGTAATTATTATTGTATTAACTTCCCTTACTAGTAAGGGAAGTCAGAAGAAAAACTTTTTCAACAGCAGCCATGGGTAAAAAAACAAGAGAAAAAACCTTTGCTGTTGAAAAAAGCCTCCTGTATACAGTACAATACCAGTTTTGTATTTGAAAATTGATATTTGAAAAATGAGGAGTTTTCCAGCAGATGTTAAAACATAAGTTGCATAATTTTAAAAGCCATCACTTTTCATACACTCAGTCTTTTTATTAGAAGAAATTTAAATTAGAAAAAAAAATTTTTTAAATGTATATTTATAATGCAGGTTTTTGTCGATTGTTGACAAAAATTTTGTTGATTTTTGAGGCATTTAAGTTTTAATTAGTATTAAATTAAATATTTTAATTAGTATTAAATTAGTACCTAAACAATATTAGTTATATTGTTTAGAATAAAATTTAGTATTATATTACCACAACATAATCTACTGTAAACTATTAAGGAGAAATATAGCTGAGTTAGCGCGACTTCGCGTAATATTTTGCGAGTTTTATACAAAATAATTATATTTCTTGAGATTCGCTAATATATATTTAAATTAATCTCTCCTTGATAAATTTTTATCTTCAGGATAAAATTAAAAAAACCATGTAATATTTGTGAAAAAATCCCTCTATTTTAAAATTGTTTATAAGTAACATGGCTAAAAATCCCTCTATTTATAGTTAACAAGGTTAAAAACGCAGAAATTTAAATATGAATAATGATAATATAGTTATCAAGTAAGAAAAGTTGTTATATTTACACAATTGCTAATATTTTTATTATTGCTATTATTATTATTAAAATGAGGGGAGGGGGGGCGGGGTAAATCCTTAAAAAGTACCAACTAGTTCCTTAAAAAAAAAAGAGGTCCTCAAAACGAGAACTAATCTGACTGAATTGTGTCAAACACCCAACTAGCCGACTAAATTCGTAAAAAAACTTCAACTTGAAAATCACCTTCTTTGGAGAGGGGGGGAGGGTGACCCCCTCGTAAAATTGCCTCTTTATACAAGATAAGTTTATCAGTTAAAAATATAACTGCTTTCAACCAGTGATATTTTCGTTCGGAAAATATTCTTAGTTTTAGTTTTTATTCAATTTTGAGGCAAAGTTTTTAGTTTGTTGTATAAATTTTTTATCTCATCTAATTTTAATTTAATTAACAGCAACCTGTCATTAGGGCTCCTAAATTTTAAAAAACTTCAATTATTAGGCATAACTAAAAAAAATAAAAAATAAAAATTTCTCAAATTTGGTACCAATAAAAATTAACGAATAGTTATCGTATAGACTTTAATAACTAATCATATATTTTGCATATAAAGGGCGTAGTGATTACATGATTATCATCTAGACTAGACGAGAGTTTAGTTTTAAGAAAATTCGCATTTCCAATGACGCTGACATTCGATTTCTCCGTCCATTTTTGAACAAGCCACAGATTGAAAAAAAGTCTTTCAATATATGCTTAAGTTGCAGGAACTGCAATGAGGTCTTTAGCTAATTGTGCAATATGTGTGTATGCAGCACCTCTCATCTTCCAGAAATTTAAAGCATTTTGGCACATAGAGCTGTTCCTTATTTCAATAAAATATTTTTTGAGTTTATTTTGTGCTTCATTACCTGGAGTAAGGGTTTATTTTATATACTTGCTGTTTTGCCGTTAAAAATTTCCATTTTGTTAATGTATTCATTTCTGGAGCAATCTCAGCAGAAGCAAATGCAGTTCAGATGCAGAGCAGATGCAGAGCAGATGCAGAGCAGATGCAGAGCAGATGCAGAGCAGATGCAGAGCAGATGCAGAGCAGATGCAGAGCAGATGCAGAGCAGATGCAGAGCAGATGCAGAGCAGATGCAGAGCAGATGCAGAGCAGATGCAGAGCAGATGCAGAGCAGATGCAGAGCAGATGCAGAGCAGATGCAGAGCAGATGCAGAGCAGATGCAGAGCAGATGCAGAGCAGATGCAGAGCAGATGCAGAGCAGATGCAGAGCAGATGCAGAGCAGATGCAGAGCAGATGCAGAGCAGATGCAGAGCAGATGCAGAGCAGATGCAGAGCAGATGCAGAGCAGATGCAGAGCAGATGCAGAGCAGATGCAGAGCAAATGCAGAGAAAATGCAGAGCAGGTGCAGAGCAGGTGCAGAGCAGGTGCAGAGCAGGTGCAGAGCAGGTGCAGAGCAGGTGCAGAGCAGATGCAGAGCAAATGCAGAGAAAATGCAGAGCAGGTGCAGAGCAGGTGCAGAGCAGGTGCAGAGCAGGTGCAGAGCAGGTGCAGAGCAGGTGCAGAGCAGGTGCAGAGCAGGTGCAGAGCAGGTGCAGAGCAGGTGCAGAGCAGGTGCACTAACTGAAAGTAAACCGTGTTGCACCAATTTATTAGCCTCTGAAAAAATGAATGCCTTTGCACACTCTCTGACTTGTGTATGCTCATTATCTAAAAATTGCACACGTGGAGTCAAGGAGACATGCGACACTTGGCAGTGGTTTAAAATTAGTATTATTTGGTTGCAAAAGAACTGCAAAACAACATCATAGATCTGAAAAAATTTTCACCACTTCACCATTGACATCTCCAAATTGCTCAAGGTAACTTTCTAAATTAAGTATCGAAGGTATAACACTGGATAGAGAAAGTGCATTCGTCTGAAGAATATCAGTTTGATTGGCAAAAGATTATAAAAGATTAACAAAATTCTGAAATATTATCCATTCGTTATTGGAAATGAACCAATATGTTGAGGTCATCAAACACTTTATTAAATATTATCTTTGTTTCCAGAAGTCTCTTATCTGCTCTTTATTCTCATTTTCTAATTCAATAAGTATATTAAGCTTGAGCTTTCATTTTTGACTTTCTTCATTGTCCGAAATAACAAGCAATATTTTTCCTCTGAAAATATTCTAATACTTTAGGCATTTTCCAAAACAATCAGCAATTTGTTCACCCATTTTTTCACAAGATACTAGTTAATTGGTTTTTCAGATTTGCAGTGAAAACAACAAATTAAAATTTTTAAAAAGGACGCAGTAAGACCTTTATTAGTCCAGCCATCAAGCTATATTATAATACACTTGCCTTAAGATATGAGGTCAAGACGTTTTCTCATTAAAACAGTAAGTTCTTCATTAAGTAGGCTAGCAATTTTGGCAGAAGCAAGCATTGAAAATTTAGAATACAAGGTATTAACAAACTTTCTAAAACTTACATTATCAAATATATTTATTCGAACTGAATTGAATAAAATTTGATTAAGTTCAAATAATATACCATTATAACATATAATAATAGAATAATTAAATATATCAAAGAATTTAACTTGTTTCAAAACTAGAACGAAAATATGTTCGTTTTAAAATAATTTTTAATTCAGTTATTGTTCCTTTCAAAAAATTTAAAATTACCGTTTTTATTCTGTTCTCGTTCTTAAAATAAATTTCGTTCTTATTTTCGTTTTTGTAAACGAAAGGCTTTTTTTTTTGTTCTCGTTTTCGTTCTCGTGTACGAAAATATCACTGCTTTTAACAAACGTCCTGATAAAATTACAACAGTAAAATATATCAAATTAATAATAAAAATATTAAAATAATATGAAACAGAATATGAAGACTGAAACGTTAAAAGTTTTGAGAACGAAGTTTTAAGCTTATTTGAGATTGTTTTATAACTTCTTAAGAGTCTTTTATAACTTTTAAATATTTCAGCAAATTGTTTTTGCTGAAATATTTCAGCAAAAACAATTTATATCCCAATTTATATCCCAAAACAGTTTCTTATTACACGGGAGCAACTTTTAAATATTTCAGCAAATTGTTAAAGACTTTTGCTCCCGTGTAATAAGGAACTGTTTTGGGCGTATTTTAATCTAACTTTTTTATAAGTTGACATTAGTAATATTATTTTGTGTCACCATTGTATGATTAACTCGTAAAAAGTTGTTTTGACAGTTAATGCATGTGTTTCTAGATAAACATATATAAACTAGAGTACTTGCCCTTTTTTTTATAATTAAAAAAATTAATTTAGGTTGGATATCTTTTCCATTAAGTTTGCATTGATGATACCATGAGCTCCACTCTACAAAGATTCTAGCTTTTGATTTTGATTTTCAGTAAGATTAAGGTTAGATATTGCACAGTAAATTAGTAGTGGTACTATTACTGAAAAGTAGACAGTTATAGATACTTTCGAAGTTAAGTGTGATATTAAGCGATTCATTAATCTTATACAAGAAGAGGTCATTTTTTATGCTTTGTGATTGTCTTTAAAAAAATAATTTTTTACAAAGTTTACTTCCAGCCGAGCGTATACCAATTGTTCTAATATTTTAGACAAAACAGGTAAATTAGAACTCGGTCTGTTGTTGTTTGGGTTCTTGAATGATCTTGATTTGTAAAATAGAATAACTTTTGATATTTTCCACTTACTAGGTATTTTACTTGTTTTAAAGATAGATTTATAATTTGGCTTAACGGACCTGCTAAAACAAAAGCATTGTCCTTTAGAAAACTGGGTGAAAAATCAACAAAACTGCTACTTTTTTACGTTTTAGCTGTTTTTTTAACAAATATCTTTGAAACATATTGAAAAGAAAACTTTCTAGCTGTCTTAGTAGAGATTTGTAGCAAATGTTTTCAAGTTATATTACTAATTACAGTAGTAGCTTTTGTAAGTTTTCGAGCAACTTTTGAGAAAAATACACAGAACTGGTTTGGGTCATTTAATGAAGTAGAAGATTTTAAAGAAATTTTTTATAAAATAATAAAATAAATAATTTTCCAAGCCTTTTTAGACTTTTTAGCTTTCTTTTTCTCTTTGTTTAACCAAGATTCAACTTGGTTCAGAATCAAGAGATTTAAGGTTTGATGCAAGCTCTGGTTGCATATGGAACAATGGTAAGGAAGGAGACTTGAAATTCCTAGATAAATGCTCTTCCGAGGTGTTCAGTAATAGGAAATAATAAGAAATTTAACGTTTTTTTAAACTGGAACTTGTCAGTAAAAAGTCATTACCTTGAATCCCAAAAAATCGAAGTTTTCAGAAGCAGCATAAACCTGCTGTGATTGTAAACTAGAGAATGACAATGGGACAAAAGCCACTTCCATTCCTACACTATCCCCATATAAATCTTCCCAAACCTACCCCATCGTCATCCAATTTGCCCCCATTCCCATCAATAAATAAATTTTCACAAGCTAGTAAACTACTTCTTGTTTAAGCCAGGCAGAAATAACTTTATAAAGGTAGTTGTGTTTTATTTTTCCTAATTCTCATATTTAACATGTTACCGCTACCGCGTTATTACCGCATTCATTATTACCGTTACCGCAGAATTACCTTTTTTTTTTTGCCATTTCCACGGTAAATACTCCCGTAACCACCTTACACATTGGCCAATTACACTAATCAGATTTAATAATTTGTTACTTTTAAAATTTTACTAATTGTAAAAACTAAAAAAATAAATATTAACTAAAATTTAACTAATCATTATTAATTATTAAGTAATAATAATTACTTAAATTAATTATTAATTATCGGTATATTTAAAAGATTTTACCTTACTACCAATTTAATCAAGATTATTTTTTTACAGACGTACAAAGGTCATGGTATGAATAATAATTGCACTGATTTATCGTTCTAATCGATAATATTGATCGATATCGGTTTATTAACTAATAAAAATAAAAGTCATTTTATGTTCTGTTATTTCATTTAAATAAACTTTAAATATAGTAACATATTTGACTTTATGCAATATCGGGTCTTGTTAAGGAATGCCATTCTATGATCCTTTTATGGGGCGTTTTTTCAACGGCTCTCCAATGAGATGCTGCAGCTGAATATGAAAAACACTCGCTAAATATAACATGTCCAATCATTTCGTCTCTTTCAAAGTTATTTTGATTGACAAGAGTAATAACCAAAGAGTAAGATTTTAAAGAAGAGTTAGCACTGGTATGTATGTTGAATTCAAAGCATTCGTTAAAGTCCATGATTGTGTCATATTGTCTGGGAGCAGTGTCTTTTCTTTCGAAATAGTCAACTTTAACCAAAGATACAATCGCATAAATATCTAGTAGAAATCATATAAAATCAGTTCTTAATAACAAATATTTTAGCTTTTTCATAATAAAAATTTTCTAGGTTTTATTTTTCGATAAATACCGTATGTAATAATAAATAAAAAATTAGACAAAAATAAAGTTTCAACAAAAGAAGTGTTTAAATTATTTTGGCAAAAGACTTCCAATAATTCATCTTATTTTTAATAAAAATTGTTTTATGAACTTTTATTGATATTTATTTTTTTATCTCAAAACACTAAATTAACTTGATGCAGTCAACTCATCAATGTGCATAGTTCACTCAATAAAAGTTGAAATTTACTTTTTCTTCTTACCAAGGGGCGGATTCAGTGTTTTTTGGTTTTTGAGATGCAAAAAATCCCTAAAGTTTTTGCTCAATCCTCTACCCCAAACCCAAACATTAGAGCAATAAGTTTCTATAATAATTTTTTTCTTAACTAAATTTGTTTTCATCAATAAATTTTAAATTTTATGCAACAATCACTTAGCTTTAAAAAATTAAGACTATAAACAACTTGTCAACCCCTCAAATTGAGGAGGTTTAAACCTAATATGATCATAAGTTTAGAAAGCTCAGTAAATACAAAACGAGCAAAAAAAAAAAAAAAAAAACAGACGTTTTGGACGTTTTTAAAACCCTTAAATACATTTTTTAATAACTTAGATGACTAAAATACGTCTAATGAGAAAGTTAAACGACTAAAGCACGTCAAATAAGAAGAAATTACTGTACGAAATTTGAAATTTATCAACGAATAAATTTTATAACTAAATATATATTTAGAAGTAAATAGTAAAAAAAATTTTATAACATTTTAATAATTTTTATATCTTGCTGTTCCCGAGTAGCAAACAATATTGGCGCAATATTGTAAACAATATGTAAGCTACATAAAAAATATTGCACCAATATTGTTTGCTACTCGGGTTGTCACGTTTAGAGTCGGTAAAACTGTTTAGGCTTTTTTGTACCCAAGCTCCAATTATCACTAACTTTTGCAAAGTATCCTCATTATTTCTATATTTATATGTTTATAAGATAAATATAAATATAGATAGAAAACTTTATATTTATTGACATAAGTATAACCATATGAATGCCGGAGTTTTCTTCATGTTTGGAAGTTAGTTATATCAAACACTAAAAAACACTGCATCCTCTCCTGCTTCTTACCAACGTAAGAAGCAGAAGAGGATGTTTTTTATTACTTGCTCAGTTTTGTTTTTCACTTATATTTAATTTTGTTTTTATATTTATAATGTAATTAACTGTTTTATATGTAATAAAGTTTCATACACCAATAACATTTAACAAAACAATGTCTACGAAAAAGCAGAATGGAGTACTAATTCACAGTTTTTACAACTTACAGTTTGACGACTTTGGTAAATGTTTGGCTTTGTGTATGATTACTTCAAGTTTATTGTTTATTAGCTGATGATTCAACGATACCATTAGCAATGGTTTTGATTCTTTCTTAAAACATAAATAAAAAACAAGGGGTAATTTTAATTAAAAATATTATAACTAAGCATTGATAGTTCAAACATATTCTATATGTTCAACTGATTTGATAATAGTTCAATAACACCTACACTAAAGTAAATTGATTTGACGATGAATTTAGAATAAAAGTATATTAAACTATATCATCAAGTTTAATAAAGTTAAATAAGACTTACGTGTTTTTGTTTTAAAAAAAGATCTACTTGATACGTTTGCGATGGATTCAAATTTAGAGAACTTAATGGCAGTTCAACTTCACCCAATATTTCTCCTTGTACTAACCGTGCGTGGTTGTACACTTTGATTTTTAGCTTATAGATGTTCATATCTTTCTCAAGAATATTGGGAAAAATCATTTTTTCGTCAATGAAAAGATTTTTTTTTCCACTTTGATATTTAGTAGTATGCATGTGTAGTTTCCCAGGTAATAAATATGCTCTTACAAAAGGACTCACTTCGTTGGCTGGTTTTTGAGATGCCAAATCCATCAACCTCAATATATGTATCATTAAAGTTTTTTTATCTTCTGAGTATTCTAACCTAAATGTTAAACGGCCTGCTACTTGGTACATTTTACTTGAAATTGGTTTGCGTTTTTTATTACCCCATTTAACTCGTTTACTTTTTTTAGAATCAATTGGTATTATATTTTCAGAAATTCCTTCGAATCGACTCGCTTCGTTTTGATCAACTAAGCTGCCGCTGCTTTCATCAGATAACTTTTGCGTCAAATCTATAATTGTTTATATATATACATATATATATATATATATATATATATATATATATATATATATATATATATATATATATATATATATATATATATATATATATATATATATATATATATATATATATATATATATATATATATATATACATATATATCGATTAAAAATATATTTTTCATATATATTCAACCAATAGAGACTAAAATATATGAAAAACATTTTAACTATATTCATATATGCGGTTAGTGGCGTATCAAGAAGTTAGGTTAATGCAAAAATATAAAAAAATTTATTAAGAGAAAGAATTAGTAACTATCTTCATATATGTAAACTTTACGTATATGAAGAGATTTACCAAATCCTTTTTTCTATGAATTTTTCAATATTTTTGCATTTATTTGGTACGCAACTAAACGCATATATGTACATAAAGTTACAAATTTAATAAAAAATTCTAATCGTTTAATAAAAATAACCTTTTGAGAGTAGTTTTAAATAGTTCTTTAGATCATTTGAAATGTATGATTGTAACTTGTTCTCTCTGTTTTCTTCGGGACTTGATGCATCACAACTTTCGTAATCGTCTAATACCGTTGCACCTCTTTTTCTTGCGCTTTCCTGAATCAATAAAATTTAAGGTCACACACGCGTGCACTCACACACACTCATATATATATATATATATATATATATATATATATATATATATATATATATATATATATATATATATATATATATATATATATATATATAAAGTATTGTGGTTTATCCTCGTCCGGCAATATATTCAAATATCAGCTCTCTAGAGTGAGTATCCACCTCCATTGAGCAAGAGTAAACTTTTGTGAAGAACTGAAGAAACGTAAAGGTAAAGCACGAATTGGTCTTGTTTGAAAGCAATCACAGAAACAGCGAACAGACAAAAAAATTTACAAACACAAATTTAATGAGAAGATTAGATTTGTTTATTTTCTGTATTTAATTATTAATCTGTGACCATTAAACTATAACAAAAAAATAAAATTTGACGTCAGCTATACAATGGCTTTCTTGACCAAACATTGCACAGTGGGAACATTTCATTAAAATAGTTGGCCAAAAATATTATCGTTGTATTTATGTGGATATTAAGCCTTATTTGAGTAAAATAGAGACTTAATATAATAATTTTTATTTTTGTGTTAAACTTGCTTATAGGCGCATTAAAGGGGGTGGGAAAATTCATTTAAGCACTGACGCACCAATTGGATTTTTTATATGTGATGCTTTTAGACATTGTTTAAATAATGGATGATTTTCCACGGCTCCAAACTTGTTATGTTCATGCTTAAGTCAAAGTATAATGGTTTGCAAAAAATTTGCGGTAATTGAAGCCCGAGATCAAAAATACCCCAAAAATTAAGCCCCTCTCCCACCCAAATATGAGGGCAATGAGTCAAAAAAAAGATTTTTGCTGCTATCTTATACTAAACTTAAATTGGTTGACAGGTTTCAAATTTCATCGAATAATCTTTTATTTTCTGAAAGTTATGATCATATTAAGTTTACAACCCGATGATTTAAAGTTTTCTTTTTCTGTAGTTTTGCAAGCCACTTGGATGTGTGATCCATAAGATCCTGTAGTTTAACTTTGGCCTTTGTTTCAGTAACTTCAATGAATGTTTTTAAAGGTGAGCACTCGTTTTTTATTTTGGAAGTTACTCGATAAGATTAAAATCTGCGTGGTGCTTCTTTATGGGTATTTTTATAAACACTTCTTGAAAGTTTGTTATCCAAGAAATATAAATATGCAAAAGCTTCTTCAGACGTCATTCTCTCTTGCAATGTGGTTAGCTTAGAGTAAAGCAATAACAATTCGTAGCGCTTTCTTTGTAACGACACTAAATAGTTTGACTTAATTATAGTCACGTTTTTTAAATGTTTTTCTTTGTGTCACTAACAGTATTTTGACGGATTCCGTTTTTGAATCAAATGATATATTTGATTCAATTGCTATTATTTGTCTATTGGTTCGAGAACTTGATTCATCAGGCCTTTTTGTTGGTCGACCTCTTTTGCTGATTGATTTATTAAACTCACTTGATTACTTGGTGATTCAACTAAATCAATTGTTTTAAAAAATTAATTAAGCCAAACTTGAATCATTTCTTTTTTTTTATATGATGCATGTCATAGTGCAACATACTTGGCAAGATTTAGTTTTAATCTCTTTCTTAATACATTTGTTTTGTCTTTTCTGACTTGAATCCTAGTAACAATGTATTTAAACCCATTATTTACATTTTCAAAAGCATTTTTTGAAACCTGGAAACATAGTATAACATTATATAAACATTAAATTGATTTCCTCCATTATCTTAGTTCACAACAATAAACTTACAAAGTAAAAAGAAATTTTTAACAACATTTAGAAATTCATGTTTTTGGTCGATTAGTGGGACATTAAAAATGCATTTTAAAATTATTATTTTTTTTAAATTATTTATGTATTTTAAAAGCATAAACTCATAAAATTAAAATAAAAAATAACATTTTTCCTTTCAATAACAACACGATGAATTTAGAATAAAAGTATATTAAACTATATCATCAAGTTTAATAAAGTTAAATAAGACTTACGTGTTTTTGTTTTAAAAAAAGATCTACTTGATACGTTTGGGATGTAAAATTAAAGTAAATTTGTTCAAAAACAAATTTACTTTAGTTTTACTTACTGGTCTTTCATGTCTTAAAGTAGTTTTTTTTTTTACTTTTTGTAATGAATGAAAAAAATTATTTTTATTCGAAGAAGTTTTTTATTTGTTTAAAAAAACATCAATTTTTCAAAATTATTAAGCGCTCAAGATCGCAGATGATCGCAGCTACACTTCTCAGGTTAGTTAGTAGACACTATAGACTAAAAAATATCAAAATATGGAAAAGGTACAAATTGGTACAATTTTTTAATTCTTCATCAAAGTTAAAATTTAGTATTTTTGTGATAAAATTTTTGCTTTCAATGCTAATTATTGTAGTACCAACATTATCAGGAAATTTTTTATTTTTTGTTTTTAACAGTCTATACTGTAACCTTTCCAATGATGTGTATATTCTCAATTTTAAATGATCTGTATATTAAAAAAGAGTAATTACTAAAATCCAACATCTTGGGAATTTTTATTAAAAACCTAACTTCAAGAAGCCACTACCGTTGAGCCTGTCACATTTAGGATTTCATAAGTTGAAAAATTCTTAGTGAGGGTATTAGTTTCTTTCATGTTTGCGTAAAGAAGCCATTAATATAGCTGAAACCAAAATTTATTGTTTAACGATCATATATAATTATTTTATATGGTGAAGATCGTTTTTAATTATATGATGATGATGCCGGTAGGTAAAATCCGGCCAAAATTTCAAATAAATTTAAACGGTATTGAGAAAATTTGGTTTTAAATTTAAACAGTAGAGTGAGTAATAATTTTTGGAGGAAAGAAATTTTAAACAGTATTGATAGAATATGAATTCTCTCTTTTTTATATATTTGCATATATATACATATATATATATATATATATATATATATATATATATATATATATATATATATATATATATATATATATATATATATATATATATATATATATATATATATATATATATATATATATATATATATATATATATTATTAGTACTATTATTATTATTATTATTTTTAATATAATGTTGATGCTATAATACTTATTATTGTAATTATTTTATAATTTTTATTATTTTCTTAGAGCGATCGTGATGGAGTGGCTAGAGTGTGTGTTTTGATATTCAGAGGTTTGATGCCTGTTTTGATTATATTTGTGGTATCAATAAGGAAAGTGGCTTGAACTTTTATGATAAATGCTCGCGGTGTTCTGTGGCTAGACCGTTAGGTTTTCTAGAAGCACCTTAATACCAAGAAGAAATAACTATTACATATTTCTTTTGTATTATTTTAATTGTTTTGACGTAATCATCCTATAAAAAGCCAAAAATGATAAATTTTATAGCAATAATATTTTTTTAAGATTAAATAAATCTTTATATTTAAATAATAATTTCTAAAATTATTTTTTCTTCCATTAAAACAAGATATAACTGAATATGAGAAAAAAATAACAATGATTTTTTTAATTATTTACCAAATTATTTCCTGTTTGAAATTCTGACTGTATAAATGGTTGCTGAGCCTTTACTGTTCTGTAAGATATCGGATTTTCTAACAGCCGTACGCCGACTATACCTGTCCTAGCTGGTATAACATAATTTCTTTGTTTTATAATTTCTTTACATTTCTTCACATACTTCAACAACAAAATTATCCCAACTATAATTATAACAGCAAGTATAATTCCAAATACAATGAAGGCAACTAAAAGCGAAAATACAATGAATGCAAAAAAGAAATTTGGAATTAAGACATCATAGGTAAAAAAAAATAAATTCTGATAGTATTTCAATAAAAATCATTATAAATAACTGTGAAATTATTAATAAACCTTTATTTGCTCAGTCGCTTAAGCATGCATTTGTTAACTCAGGCGTAAATTTAGCATCAAAAATTAAAGTTATTAAATCTGATTTTAAATCATACCTAATCGCTAATAATACCCTAATGGGAATATAATAATTTAACTTTAACAATAAATTAACTTTATTATAAAAAACTTTTGCAAGAAACAAAAAATGTATAACAAAGTAGACATTAGCTTTTTCAAAACTAAATATAGGAATAGAAGAAATTAGTCCTACGACAACCAAACTATTACTGCTTAATTTTAGATAAAATAAAGATAAAATAAAGATAAAATAAAGATAAAATAAAGATAAAATAAAGATAAAATAAAGATAAAATAAAGATAAAATAAAGATAAAATAAAGATAAAATAAAGATAAAATAAAGATAAAATAAAGATAAAATAAAGATAAAATAAAGATAAAATAAAGATAAAATAAAGATAAAATAAAGATAAAATAAAGATAAAATAAAGATAAAATAAAGATAAAGTAAAGATAAAATAAAGATAAAATAAAGATAAAATAAAGATAAAATTCAAATAGATAATCATTCAATTTTAACAACTACCTATAAAATATTTTAAAAAAGCTAGTTTTGGTGTAGATTGATTAAAACATTTTGTTAACTAAAGACAGTTAGTAGTAAAATATTGTTAACTGAAGACAGTTAGTCGCAAAAACTGTCTTCTTTTAACACTTTTGTTTCTTGCATTAATACAAGAAACGAACTTGAAATCCGAATTTAACCTTCAAACCTAATTTTTTTAAGTTGTCTGTTAATTCTTTTCTTGGTTCTTAAACTTCATCTTTTCTCTTCTAATTACTTTCAACTTTAGTTGTGGTTGCTTGCAGCTTTGTTAAAAGTAAATTCGTTTAAAAAAATCTGAAATTTAACTTGTAAAGTGCAAACTTAAACTCAAGCTATACTTAAAAACGAGTGGTTTTCAAACTTTTGAAAAACAACATAAATCATTTCCGATTGCGAGAAACAAACTTGACATTTTAAGTTAAAAATAAAAAAACTGAAGTCTTTTTTTTAATATTTTCAAAACGATTTTGCTAATATGTTTGCTAATATATTTACTCATTTTATGAGTAAATTATAGATGAATCATACATACACTATAAATAAATTTTGCAAGTACAATAACTGTCAATTGTATTTCGGTTTTATGCTTCTGGTTCATTTCAGGTGAAAAAATATTTATATCTAAAATTATAATTATTTTATCATGACTATAATTATAATAAATTATGATTTTATATATATATATATATATATATATATATATATATATATATATATATATATATATATATATATATATATATATATATATATATATATATATATATATATATATATATATATATATATATATATATATATATATATATATATATATATATATACACATATAGATGGAACATAATCTAATTTCTGGGCGAGAAAAATGCAGAGTTGTATCAAAACAATAAAGGATATTTTTCTTTGAAGAACCAGGTAATTCAAAAAATATTTTGTCTGCTTGTACTCGATGGATTGAGTCTGTTCTGAAAATAAGATGTATCTATCTATGTTATTAAAAAATAACACGAGCATGTTTAATTTAACCCAGTGTTTCTTAATAATATTATTTTTGTAACATATTTAAATATATTTTTGTAAGTTAATATTTCAAAGTGTAAAATTCAAATATACTATTTTAGAATCTATAGTTAATATGCTTTATTCAAAGGATTTTTCTTTTTAAAAATACTATGCCGCAATTGGTTGCAAGGTATTTATTTATTTTCCGCCATCAAATCAACGCTATTTACATTTTTTAGTTTGACTTTCTCAAGCACGATCTTAAACTTATCAAGTTTCATTAACGTAAACTTTCAAGTTTCATTTAAACTTTCAAGTTTCATTTAAACAAGTTTCATTTAAACTTTAAATTAAACTTTCAAGTTTCATTAACGTATTTGCTCAAAATTTTTTTTTTTTTTTTTTTTTTTTAACTTGAAAAATTCAAACTTCAAAGTTTAATGTTGGTTTGATTATTTTTTTTAAGTACTTTTTATATGTGTAGATGTTGTTTGCAAAAGAGATGGCATTTTGAGAATTTTAATATTTTAACAACCATGACGTCAGCCGTACATATGCATGTTTATTGCTTTGTTGTTAAATTTGAGAAGAAATAGTTGAACAATAACAATAAATTGCAAAGAAATGAAATTAACAGTTTATCAATTGAGTTAATCAAAAGCATTAGTATTTACAGATAAAAATCACAGATTGTTATAAAAATATATATATAAAATTTGTTAATGTTTTTGTGTAAACATATATAGAAGTTAGACGTATTAGTATATTGATGTTTCGATTTAAATTTAATGCATTTCAATTTGTGGAGTAGAAAAAAAACCATCGCTAACAGGCCAAATAAATATGTTTATGCCATAGTAGTAAAAATAGTGACAATAAGAAAACAAGCTATTATTTGCTGCGTATGAGTAAGACTACCAAGTTAAATTGATTATCGGATGCTGAGTGCACTGTTCATATCCAGTGCCGTAGTTAATATGCGGGGTTGTTAGGTGTTTTATTAACGTACTCGGTGTAGTTAAGGCGATTTACAAAATATTTAAATACTTTTATTTGGAATTAGCATGGTTTTTTCAGGATATTATGCCCAAACAAGATCTTTAAATGTTATAATTTTTTTTTGCTTAAGGTTTTTATAATATCTAAAGAAACTTCTTTTTTGTATATAAATTTCAAAACCTTTTTACTACCCGTAATAATGTATCTAAAAAACACTATTTTGGAGTCTTTAGATTAATTCCGCTCTTCGGCATTAACATGAATTTAGCTACAATCTTTTAAAAAAGTTCCTTAATTTACTACTGATCCTAGTTCTAATTGGTTCTGACGTATATTAACTATATATAGTTGTCAAAACACAATATTTCTATCAATTTTTACAAAAATTACTGGAATTCCGACCAAGAAAGAGCTTATAATTATAGAAAATTGCCAGTAAACGATCAGAACAGATTATATTGTTAAACTATAATGTTCATATCACCTAAAAAACGTATTAATATAAAATCTTATTTAAATTTGAACGAGCGATTGTGATTTTAAGATGATTTTTTTTAAAAAAAAGATTCCAGGGTCTGGATTTTTTCGCTACAAACATTTGTATTTTATGATACCGCAAAATTATTTTTTTTAAATTATTAAAAAATATTTTTTTAACTTTTTTTGTCTTTCCATAATTCACAGACCAGGCCATTTAACGGAAATATGTCGTAGTCGACAAAATATCATAGAGACGCTATAATATTTTAAAAGTATCTTAACTACACCGAGTATTTTTTAGGTTTTAAAGAGTTTTTAATTTATTTATTAAAGGTAAAAAAAAATTTTCAGAATTTAAAAAGGACCTCTTAAAAATGGTTAGCTCATCGGTTGGAGGATTCGGATACCTAATCGCGGCCCTGGTTGTACAAAGCAATGCAGTGCAGATTTTTGATTCCAAAAATAACCAATCTAAATAAAAAAGACATTATACAAAGCATAGTTTTGAAATTATCAGCTATGTAATAAACTGATATAAATAGTAAGTATGTATATAAGTATAAACGGTTCTTTTGTTAAGACAATATTGTATCTAATATTTTGTGAGCAGATTGAGAAGTTAAACAGAAATTTGGTTGAAAATCTAATATCAAGCAGATTTTTATAATGACTGTTTTAGTCAAATTCTGACAAGCTAACGTTTGTTTTAGTCCAAAAAATGAGATTTTTAAGTTAAAAAGAATTTAGGTCAGAAAATTTGTTGCAAAAAGTATTAATTACAGATAAAAGATTCAATTCAATTTTTTTCGTCTAACATTGCAAAAACTCGTTTGAAACAAGTTTAATAATGTCAGGCACAAAGAGTCTTTTAAACAATATTTTATCTTTATTGCGCGCTATTTTTTTCTTTTTTACTAAGTTCATACAAATTTAAATTTTGTATGAAACTGCTGTAGTTCGATTATAATGCATGCAGTGCGACATGCTTGACGTCAAGAAGTGTTAATAAATAGAAATTTCAATAGTTTTTAACTCAGTATGAAATCCTTTTTGAGAAAGATTCTTTATTAAACGCTTTAGTTAAATTAATAAAACATAAAATAATAAAACAAATAAATTATTAACTAGGATACAAAACTGTAAATATACTATTGGATTATAATTAACAAAAGTGAATAAAAATTTGTAAATCCATTTTTGCTTTATATTTTTAACTCACAAAAATACATAAAACGTAACCGAAGTGCCGAAAACAAAAGGAAAATACGCTAATTATATTAGTTATAATGGTATACAGATAAGTAAATTATATATAATCATATTTACATAGATATAAATGTGTATAAATACATGAAATTGCAAGTGTATGACCACAGAGTCAGTCAATATCAAAATATATCTTTATATCTTTTAAATGATAACTTATAGTAGTTTTTAAAAACACATATTTTGTATTAATTCCCCTCCCCAAGGCAATACAGTCAACGAGGTTACTATTTAATTGTGGTTACAACCCTCACTCAACTTATAACACCGAAACACGAACATTGACGAACAAGGCCGCTGCGTGGTGAAACAGGTTGAGCGCGGTACTGCCAGGGACGAACTCGGAACTTTTAGCTTATGAGGCGGGCGCTCTACCACTACCAGAACCGCATATTGATTCAAGGAATAGATTAAGCAATAAGTTGTTTTTGTTCGTTTTTTTACATATCGTTAAAACAAGTTGAAATTTTTTTTCTATTTACAGGCGGACCAAATTCACTTTTCTAAAAATAGTTTATAGAAATCCTTACTTATAAAAAAAAAAGTTTGTTATTTATGCATTCTATTTGTTAATATGCGATTCCAAAATACTTTAAACCATGGAAGTATTATAAATATATATATCTATAATACTTCCATGTTTAAACCGAGAAAATGTTGATGCAATTATTCGCGTAATCTATAACTAAATACAAATAACAACTTGTATTTAGAATAGATTACACATTTAATGTTTCATTTAATTTAGTTAATTTTTTTCATGTTTTTTTGTTGCCTTTTATTAAAAAGTTTTAAAAAGTTTTTATACTTAGTATTGCAAATGTTTTATTTTTAATACTTTGTTGTAGTTTAGATGGATCTACGATGTAATTTGTTTATTAAATATTGTTTTATTAATTTTGCACAGATGTTTGACTTGCAAGAATTATTAATGAAAATCTGAGCAACAAATTTTGTGTCTGAAAAAAATAAGTATGTAAATAAATTGTCGATGAGTTTTTGATTACTTAAATGTCAAGGTTTAAAACTACTGATATATATATATATATATATATATATATATATATATATATATATATATATATATATATATATATATATATATATATATATATATATATATATATATATATATATATATATATATATATATATATATATATATATATATATATATAACGTCATATTAAACCAAGTTCTAAGCAATGACTTACAATACAATATTATAGCATTGTCTTCTGTAGCAACAATTAAAGGCACTTAGTATGCCTTAGTAAAGCCATTATTAAACAACCTTATACAAAGGAGATTTCGATTACAAAAAATTGTATGAAAAAATAAATTTTAAATATTATTATTAAAACTTACTATTGATATTCATAAAAGGTTTAAAACATAAAAATTCTATAAAAGCCACTGGTATCACTTCCAGACAGCAAAAACAAGTAAACCCCAAATAAATATGTGTTAAAAATTTTAAAAGTAGAACAGAAATGATTGGCAGCGAATGGAAAAAAAAAAGATTAACGAATTAGCAATATACATTGATACATAATCTCTACACTAATCGGTTGATAAAAGCATTAACAAATTTTTTTGTGACAATTGAGGCAATAACTGAGTCAACTTAAAATAAAAGACGATTAAACGGCAACTTTTTTATTATTATCTCAAAATTTGAAAAGTGAAAAAATATTTTTGTAAATCAATCACAAATAAATTTTGAGATGGATTTACAATAAGTTTTATTAATTTTGATAAGGTATAAAAAAGTAAGCTTAATTTCAAATTGCTTTTAAAACGCCATGATTTCTTATTTCTGAGTTTTAGCATACTTTAAGTGTCATATTTTTTTTAAACCCATAAAATAAATATTGTTTTTGAACAATATTTATTTTATTGGTTTTTACTTCATATTTATCTTTAAATCTTTTTTTAGTGTTCTTATTTTAATTTTGCTTTATATTTTCTACTGTTTTCGTTAGAGTAGGGAAGTTAGGATAATAAATATTTGGTATGTAGGGGAAGGTTGTGTATGTTGAGCACGTTTTTTCAGTGTAATGGGTATTGCACCCAAAAGACTACAAAAAGATATATATATTTTTAAAAATAATGATAATTTTATCTTTCCTCTCAAAGGATATAAATGAATATTTCATTAAAAAAAAAATTTCATACCAAAACTTGCTTTATCTTCAACACACCCAATCATTTCATCTTAGGAAACCAGTGTCCTAAGATGACCTTTTTCTAATGGAACTCAAAAAAACACAAAATAACAAAAAAATAATCACAAAGAAAAAAAAAAATGTATCTTAAAAAATATCTCAACCATAAAAATAAACAAAAATAAATTTTTCCTATCTCTAAAAAAGTTAACGATACTATTTTTTGAAAAAACTTTCGTTTAAAATGAAAGAGCATGAGCGTCTAAAATCGTATCATCTTAAGCAACTTCACCAAGTACTATCATAATTTAAATAGCATGACAACAGCTTATGTATTATCTCATGTAACCCATGAAATTAGCAGTAGATAAGCATAAAATATTAGGGATGTCATAAATTTTTGAAAATCTTGTTTTGTTCTGACATAATTACAAAATATTAAATAATAAAAAAATTATAACATGGATGGTAAGTTTTTTTAACAGTAAAGTAAAGAAAGAATATTAACTATAAAACAAAGAAATTAAAATAAATTACACCGTCGAACTTGTATAAATATCCTTTTAACCAAAAAAGTTTGCGACATTAGTCTTCCCGTAAAAGAGGTTATAGCATCTTAGGAAGCCGCTCGTCTTACGCAACCTTCCCTAGACAGTTTTTATGCTCTCAATTCAATTTCAACAATTTTTCTTTAAATTTCTATTGTATAATAATTACAGTTTATTTAGCATTGAAACGTAGAAATTAATAAAGGAATAATTTTAAACTAAAACGCTATTAAATAATTTACAACGAAGGTTACAAAGTTACCTTACAAATAGAAAATAAGATGTATCTCATAATTCAACATCTACAAAATTAGAAACAATAAGCTGTGAAGTTCTTAAAGATTTTTGAACCCTTACTGTTTCTGATTTATGTAATGGATATCTATCTATCCTTAAACATGCCTAATTTTGTTCTTTTTGCTGATTATTTTATTTTTTTTATACTGATTTCAATACAAAAACAATTTTCTCTACCGTAATTCGTGAACTGAAAACGTGAACTTCCTTTCAAATGCTCTTCCGCTGTGCTCTGTGATAAGACCGAAAGTACTTCTTGGTGCACCTAAAATTAAAAATTAAAAAATTAAAAAAAAAATTTTCAAAATCAAACATCATACTCTTTTTAAATATCAGTAAAACTAAGTATATTTTATTTCTTCACCAATCTTAATTCTGCTTCTGTAATCTCCTCAGTTAACTATAAATAAACAGTAAACATAGTTGCATCACTTAAAATTCTAAGAGTAAAATTTGATTAATATCTTAATAAGAAAAAACCAAGGATATTTTATATAACAAGATGTCTAACTTCATTACGAAAAGTGAAGCCGCTCTTTGCCCTATTTACAAATGGTGGATTAAATTTGTAAACAAATATTTTTAACTTTTTTTTTCTTAAATGAAGTAAATATATTCTAAATTTAAATACTATTTACGTAAAAGTGTTAACCGGAAATTATAATACTTAAAAAATAATAATTTATTCTTACTTAATTTATTTTTGATTAAAAAGGGATTAAAGTTTTGAATAGAAAAGTAAAACGTCTTACTATTTTGAAGCATTTTTATGAATTAAAACACTTTTTAATAAACATAGGCTCAGAAAAACTTTTAAAAGTATTTTATAATTGTTAAAACGTGTTTTTAAATTATCTTTAATTTATTGGGAGCATTTTTAACTTTTATTCTACACTTCGGCTTCAGCTTTTGTCCTTTTTACAAATGGCGGACTATTGTTATAAACAAAAAAACGCGGCTTCCCTTTTTGTCGAACTTAAGTTTGACTTCTAGTTATATAATATATCATTTGAAAAAACATATTAGGCTAATTAGGGGTCGTTCATAAAATACGTATGCTTTTTATTTGACCACCCATCCCCCTCTCGCATTTTGCCATACGCTTTTTTGAGAACCCTCTACCTCCCTAAAAATACCTACGCTTTTAACCTACCAACCCAACATTTTACGTAAATATAACATAATATTTTTTTTAACTTAGTGTCTCCATACTTTTATAATTTACCTTTGTTTGGTGCTATGTTTTTAGTAGTTAAAAAGGTGGGAAAGTGATCTGAAAGGTCTGTCTTAATTATACCTGTAAAAACATGGGAATTGTTGATTATTATATTATCGACTAAGGTAGAAGAATTTTTAGTTATTCTGGTTGGCTTAATAATTGTTGGAATGAAACTGTGCTCAAGTAGAGTATCAATAAAATGTTTAACATTATTATTAGAAGTATACTTCAGCAAATTTTTGTAAAAAATTTGCTGAAGTTTTTCAGCAAAAGTTTGTATCACCAACTATGTAAATTAATGTTTGTATCACCAACTATGTAAATTGATGTTTGTATCACCAACTATGTAAATTAATGTTTGTATCACCAAATATGTAAATTAATGTTTGTATCACCAACTATGTAAATTAATGTTTGTATCACCAACTATGTAAATTAATGTTTGTATCACCAACTATGTAAATTAATGTTTGTATCACCAACTATGTAAATTAATGTTTGTATCACCAACTATGTAAATTAATGTTTGTATCACCAACTATGTAAATTAATGTTTGTATCACCAACTATGTAAATTAATGTTTGTATCACCAACTATGTAAACATACTTTTGTGTATTATTAATTTTGTTTAAGAATGAGCTAAGATGAGTTTTGAATGTTTTAAAATTACCACCTGGTTGTCTATAGATAGTATTTATGATTATGTTTTTTGAGTTTTTATTAACTAAATCTATGCATAATGACTCACAATCTGTTTCATTCACACTAAGATCCCTACGCAAAGTAAAGTCGATTGAATAGACATTTCTCTAATTCGATTGCGCAACTAATTTCTCAGCTTGAAAAAGAGGCCAGTAGGGACAAAAATATAAACTGATAAAAACTCAAATTCAAAATGAATAAATTTAAATAATAATTGCTCTCTTTTAAACAAGTCTTTCTCTAACAAGGAAATGAAAAAAGATTGAAAAAGAATGTATTGTTTTATAACACTATATGGAAGTTCGTTTTACAATAGCAATACGGAGAAAAATAAAGTTGATGCTTACAAAATTCGATGTTTACAAAGCTTGGAAAAACGAATTATTGACATTCAACACACAGCAAAAGAAATTACCTAGAAAATCTCTATGAAAAAAGTCAAAATATCTAGATTTTACAGCTAATATTTATAAAAAAAACTCATACAATAATCGATTCTACGGAAAAAGTTGATTATAAAAAATGTAAACTTTTGTTATCCAAAAAAACATTCATTGAAAAAAGTTGGAAGTATGTCATGAAAGTTATAGAAGCTTGCTTGAAGAATATAAAAGTTCAAAAACATGAAAAAAAAACAATTCAAAAGTAATATTTTTAACTACGAAAATGTTGAAAATTAAATATTTTAAATATTTCAACTCATTTACTGGCATGAAAAAATGAAAAGTTTTATTTGAATGTTTAAATCTTGAAAAAGAATCTGAAAACATGGAAAATAATTTTCTGAGAAAAGGCTACCTAAAGAATTGTTTTCATCTCCTTTATATTTCACACCAGAATCCATACGCGGTCAAAAATGAAACTGATTAACCAACTATTTATGTTTTTAACATAGCTTAGACTTGAAGTTTTACTTGAAGAAGTTTCACTTGCTTACTTATCTGGTTATTTAAAGCACCAATCTGTTTAGAAATACCTTATATACACAGCCAAGTTTTATACACCTTAAACTTTGTGCAAAACAAATTTGGCCAAATTTTAATCACTTAAACATAATATACCTAAATGTTTTAAAGAGACATATCCTCAAGTGAAAGTTATTAATTGTATCAAATTGTTTTGTCAAAGACCTTCCAACGTAAAGTTTACTGCATTACCTATAAAGTATTAGTTGGAATTGCTCTTTCTGGTGCACTATCATTTGTTAGTAAACTAATTTTTTTGGCTCTGATTTTTCTTTTTCATAGTTAAGCAATTGCCTTTGCAAAAAAAAGCTATGGGAGAGTGATGATTCTGTAACGGCTGATAGGGTTTTTTATTTAATGATCTGCGTAAACCTTTAGATGTAACACTAAACATTCTCGCCTTTTTAAATGAACGAAGAGGTTATAGAAAGTCAACAACAATAGCACCAATAGCAGCATAAAAATTTGGAATGTGCCATACAACAAATAATTAAAAAAAGCAAGAACGAAAGGAAATGTTTTATGAAATGAAAAAAAATGTTTTATATGGATCAACTAATCAAATTTGGACTGTAAACTGCTTATGAAAACTTATGTAAACTTTATGAAACAGTTCTTATAAAACAGTAAAAATATAAGAAATATAATATTTATTATTAAGCACGATAAAATATATTTTTTATTAAAAAAAGTTTATCAGTAATATCTAAAAACTAGCATTAATCAAAGTCAGTGTTTGCAATAATAATTTTGTTATAAGCATAAACTATTAACAAACATTAGTCCAGATAAGCCCATTTTTGACTTGTGGATAATAGCCAAATGAGTGATGTTTTTAAAGAAATAATTCTCCTGTAGGTAATGAACTAGTATAAACTATTTATTGTTTGACTAAATCATTTTCTTTTAAGGTTTGCATTTCTCTTAGTGTAAGGAAAATTCATTTATTTTAGTGTAAGAACAATTATTTTAATTTAATATACCTTTAAATCGATTTTAAAATGACTAAAAGACCACTGGCTTGGTGCAAGTCCAAATGGACTTGTTAACAAGTTCATCCGGAGTTGCTAGTGGTTGCATAGTTGAGCTAACAATCCAGTTTCAAAAAATTTTTTTTATATATTATTTAAGTTTTTTAAATATTTTTTTTCATTTAACGTTTGTCCACATAACTATTAATTGTGAACTTGTGTCTTGTGAACACAGGGAGAAACGCAATAGGTTTTACATATTTTGTAAATAGATTGTACATATCTTCTTTTAAAGATACACATTTTTTCAAATTTAAATTTTTTCTATTTTACTATTTCTGTTTATATATTGCAATATTAGATACTAAATTATTTTATTTTTAAGGCAGTCGCTATTAAAGCCATACATTATTTATTAGATAATTAACTTATTTAAAAATATTACTCAAGTAGTTTATCGCTATTTGTTTACCTTTTTGTCCTTACTGGCCTCTTTTTCATGATGAGAAAATGGTTGCGCAATCGAATTAGAGAAATGTCTATTGAGGATATAAACACTTACGCCTCATCCAGCATGAATTTTACGCGGTTGATGAACAGATTTATAATTTTTTAATTCGAATTGTGGATTTTTTTCACATTTTCACCAAGTCTCTTTAAAACAAATAATGCTGAAATTATGTTTTATTTCGTCAAGTAAAGATTTAAAATTTTCAAAGTTTTTGTTAAGACTTCGGATATTAATATTTAGGTGAAAATTTTTTGCGGTTTGGTAAATCAAGTAGTAATTACTTTCATATGTTATTCGATCAAAGTATTTTGTATATGTATCTTTATCACTGAGACTTATATTTCAGGAAAATATTTTATTCGCAAATTGCCCTTCATTTAAAAATTAATAATAATAAAAAACTAAATATAAAGAAAAGAAAAAAAGATACTTATTTAGTGTTCCGATTTAACTCCTTCACAATCAGTTTATCATATGCATATTTTTAAAACTGCATATTTTCCGGAATTTCTTCCAATTTTCATTTTCTCAAGAAGATCACGTTCTATTTTATTTGTTTCTTCCGAAAAGTCCTCGTTTATAAATATCCTTTTTCCTTTTAGCTTCTTTGCATTTTTCAAGATTAGTTCTTTATCTTTATAATTTAACAGTTTAACTTTAACAGTTTTTAGGGTATCCATATTATTATAAACTTTTCCAATTCTGTGTGCTCTTTCTATTACTATATTTTTTAACTAAAGCTGTTCATTGAAAATTGTTTGAAGTTTTTGTTCAGTATTTTCCCAAGTTTCTTGTTCATTTTCCCGTAATCCGTAAATTCTTATGTTATTTCATCTATTTCTGTCTTCAAACTTTCTCATCTTTTTTTTTAGCTCGTGACATAAGTTTTTTGCTTCGTCCAAATTTTCTTGCAAAAAAGCGTTTTTATTGAAATTTGAAACATTTGTGATTTTGCTATTAACTACTTTTCTTAAATCTTTATTAACAGATGTAATTTTTTCATCAATCAAAGTATCTTAAGTGAACTCAATACTTTTCCGTAAGTCTTCAACAGTTTGTTGTAAAGTGAACTCAATACTTTTCCGTAAGTCTTCAACAGTTTGTTGTAAAGTTTTTGTTTTTCTTCTACTTATAACAAACGTTTTTGACTCGATCGATTTTAAAGATTATTTCTGGAAATGCAACAATTCAATATAATTGAATTGTTGCATTTCCAGAAATAATCTTTAAAATGGA